TTCTTCATAGACTTTTATTGACGCAAGACAACTGTATAATTCAAATGATGACAATGGAAGTACTGAAACAAATTGTAAAGGCTGTTGAAGAAAATTTAGAAGAAGAAAAATTAATCGAATTAAAAAAATTGGTGCCAGCTAATTCAGAAGCGATAAATCGTGAAGAATTAGAATTATTGGGCGAAGGAGGAGAAACAGGAGAATTGAAGCCAGGCAAATCATTCATTTTTGCAGTTTTAGAAATTTGTCTTTGTGTTTTAGTTCGACAATTACCTGCTTTGAATCCTAATCCTGAAGGAACAACTGCTATTCTATTACAAAAAAGTTACGTTGCTTCTGAAGAAAATGGAAAACTTATTACTTTAACTCTCAGTATTATGGAAACTCTTCCATCTCTTTGCTCACCTCAAGGTGCTCTATCAATTCTTCCAACTCTTCTTTATTTAGCTACTGGTATTATACGAGAAACTGGAGTTCGAGTTGATAATCAAAATACCAGAACAGCATCGGAGTCATCTGTTCATGCTTCGTTACATTGTTTGAAGAGTTTCATTACAAATAAATATTCGAGGTATACGGTAAGTCAAAAACAGTGGACGGAATTACTTCAAAGTGCTCTTGCTAAAATAATCGATTTAGCTAAATCAGGAAATGATGAGACAAAAATGGATGAAGTTACAATGATGCTGATGCTGATGCTGATGTTGATGTTGTTTCTGGTTCCCGGAACAGAGTAACTTTTGACGGAAAGGCATTGAGGAAAGGACACAAACAGGATGGAGAACTGAGGTCTGAGGTCTTCCGGATGTGGGATGTGGAAGAACCCGGAGGCAATAGCTAGTGTGTTTGTTGGACGTTTCCAAGTGCCTAAACGGTTTTCCCTGGATCCGTTTGAGGATTTCCTGCTCTCGTAGTCAGCTCTCATTCCACAGTTGAATGCGTTGTTCTCTTGCACGTTAAAATGACCCTATGTATTGAGTGAATGTGTGCCAATATATCTATATTTATATCTGGAGATAAACCGAAAGGAAAAGAGGAAATAGTTGATAGAGCTGATGATAATGAGAACCCTTGAAGCAAAGTAGTCAGAGTCTCGTCGTCTACAGTTTGCCTATCAACAAGACCCGATATGCCTGACGGATATAGGTACCCTGTTCAATCTCTCTTCACCTCCTCTAGTATCAACCCTCAACCCTTCAACGGCTAGGCGTTTACTCCGAGCTTAACGAGCATCCACCAAAGTACTTGGCGACGATCACCACCACCACTCTAAGTCGGTGTGTAGTTATTATAGTGCTAGTGGATGACTCTGGCATGAATTTCCGTACTCAGAGAAAACGCCTCGGGAGACACAACCCAAATGCTACAGATATAAGATTTCATCAGATTCCTTTTTAGTTAAATATTATCTTTAACTCTTCTCTTACTTATACTTTTGAGGGTATATACAGATATAGAGTTTGGCTGTCAAGACTATTATAATGTTATATGTTATATATTATATATAGACATATGCATGCACCGAGACTACAGACGGCGACACAAACTTTCGGATAAGTAAATTGTCCAAAGTTTATAGTGAGATACTTGTGTTATCTATTAACATTAAGTAATCAACAGAATTAAAACGTTTGCACAACTTTTTAATGACAACAAACTTTAATTACATATTTTATTATTTGTTGTTGTATATTTTAAAGTTTTGTGGGGTATTGAAACTAAGTAAAATTAATAATTTAACTGAGATTTTTGAATTTATTATTATAACAACTCGGAAATTTAAAGTTTAGTTCAGTTTTGTTCTTTGAGAAAAGTAATTATTAATAAAGGTTCCGGCGTTAAATTCATATTTAATTAAATGTTTAGTTAATTTAAGTTGACTTAAACTTTTAATTATTGCACACTTTAAAGATCTACTTTTAGTTACTATCTTTAGTTGGAATTGAAAACAGACTTTTCTTTTGTTTTATTTAATGTGTTGTAAAAAATGGGATTTAGAGGTGACATTTAAATTTAAAACTTGACAACTGGAAAATTTACTAAAGATAGTCATAAAAAAATTTGTAATTTTTATATTTAAATAGTCATTGATTTTAGTTGCAATAATTAAAACACTGATTAAAAATTCACTTGATTTAATAAAAATTTTTTCAATTGTGAAAATTAAATTAAAAATATTTTGTCTTAAATCAAGCAACAAAAATTATTCAAACTTTTGATAAAAAAATTTTTCATCTCAATTTAAAACTTAAAAAAATATTTTAAAATAATTTTTTCTATTCAAAAACTTTTTTTTCATTGAATTAACTTTTGTATGAGCTAAAAAATAAAAATTCTAAGCATGAATTTTTGCTAAAACTCTCAATAAAAATTTTTACTCAACAATAAAGCTCTAGTTGTACAACAATAGTAAAAAAGTAAAAGACGAAATGTGAGTGAGCTTTCGCATAAAATGTCAGGAGGTTTTTAAAGTATAACTGAAAGTTCCATTAGATAACGTAGTCTTATCGACTTTGAGGCTTTCCTTCTCACGCGAACACGTGTGTATGCAATAACAATATTTCACGCGTAAGTACACTTATACAGTCTCCATACTATACCACGATACCACGGCGTAGCATAGTTATCTATAGCACTGCTGACACACTGCTGTATATCTATATACAAATATATGTATTTATATTTATAAGCATATATACGTAGATTTACATGTTCTAGAAACCCCTTGTTGGATCTCGGTTGGGTCTTTAACTTCCTGCAGCGATACCGACGACGATTCAGGCTTCCTTCTTCGTCGCAATGACTTGATTCACGTCAGATCACGTCAAAAAGGGAGAAAAAATATAAACATATATTATGTTTTTTTTTAAGGAAATCCTTTCGCTCCAGTTGAGTCGAAACAATTGTAGTAGTCAATATACGATAGATTAAAATAAAAAACCCATAAAAATTCCTTAAATTAAATAATAAATAGTATATGAGGTATTAATCGTTGAAATTTTGAAAATAAAAAAAAATAGTTAAATACAAAAATTAATTTGATTCTTTCAAATCAGCTGCTAGTAACCTGTTCGTGATTTGGCAACGCTGTACTTCGGTTGTTTACATTTTCATTTGCACAATATAACCTTAACCACGTTTAAGTTTTTGCAGTCAGTGTAAATAAATAAATTAGTTTGAATTTATTGAATGGTCTGAACTCGCGCGCTACGCAACGTTGCCAAATGTTTTGATTCCATTTTAATGTAGGTTACTTGAGAATTTTTTGTGATTTTTAAATATTAATTTCTCAATAAATATCTCGGTAACTGATATATTTTATCTGAACAAAAACAGTTTCACTGTAATAAATTGCGCCAAGTACACGTTTACAACTTTTGATTTACCAAAATACCAATGAGAAATTATCACTTTACAAAAAGACGTAAAATAAAAAAAAACAGACCAAGTAGCTGTTATGATTTTTAATAATTGAAAAACTTTTGTAGTAAATTTAACAATTAAAAACAATTTTTTCAACGTACTTGGCGTGCGTCATTGAGTACCTCAAATTTTTTCAGATGTATTGTAATAACGTCTCAAAATCCGTCAGATAACTCATTCATGTCAACAGTCAGTAGTTTAATCATTATCTTAACTCCTGTTCTTTTCTTCTTCACAGCATTATTGCATGCTTTAAGCGCGATCGCGCGAAGGCTTAGCTCTACTAGCGTCTAAGAATCCAGTTTCTTCTCTCGTCAAGAAAAATTTAATTTTAATCATCATCCTTCACTAATTATTTTTTTTTTTCATCAAAAACTATCCAAAAAGAAATGAAGTTATGTAAAAAAATCACTTTTTTCGAAATTTTTCGTTTTTGATAACTCCCAAAAGAATCAATTGATTTTGACGGGACTGGCGGCAATAGACGCAGTATTTTGAGTTTAAGAGCGGCTGAGTTTTTTTAATTGACTCGTGGAGTCGTTTAAAAGTTATTCTAAAAAACCGTTTTTTGAAAATTTTATTTTTGAGATTTCTCAAAATTTAGCGAACCGAATCAATTTAAATTTTCACCAAATTTAATGGCGTTGATACTTTTTGTATTGCCACTTATCTCGATTCGATTGATCGAGATGTTCAAAACTTATAGATTCATATGGTTGCATCAAAATAATCATCAGTAGGGTCAATGACTTGGTGAGGAGGGGCTGAAAGAATTGTAGTCCCTAAAATTACTTTTCACATAAGTTCTTTGGCCTTAGTTATCAGATATGAAAAAATTTGGGTTACTCAATGACGCACGCCAAGTACGTTGAAAAAATTGTTTTTAATTGTTAAATTTACTACAAAATTTTTTCAATTATTAAAAATCATAACGGCTACTTGGTCTGTTTTTTTTTATTTTACGTCTTTTTGTAAAGTGATAATTTCTCATTGGTATTTTGGTAAATCAAAAGTTGTAAACGTGTACTTGGCGCAATTTATTACAGTAAAACTGTTTTTGTTCAGATACAGATATCGTGACAACCTCGCGGGGATAGTCAGGGAAGCTTCTTGTGACCTTCAAACGTCGAGATCTGATAAAAACTCGATTTTTGCAAAACGGGGTGAAAACAATAACTTAAATATATCTATTTTAAGGGGATTTCTTAATAAATATTTCATTCACAGAATCTTTCACTAACAAGCTGAAAAAACTCAAGTTGACAAATGGAATATGAATGACGGTCTCGTGGTCGTAATAAGATTTTATATCATTGATTCCCACAACAAATTGTAACGTAGTGTAAATATTCTATCGAAGTAGTAGAATTATTGCATTAGATTCAGGACAAGCGTTTTAGGTTGATTAACAAGTACTTCTAAAAATTCATCTCAAATTTTAAATTAAATCATTCATTTCAATAGCAATAAGTTAAAAAATTGGCGACTTGCCGAGATAAGTCATATGTTCAACCACTGTTCATAATAATTTTTAAGTTCGTGATAAATGATAGTCAAATTTAGAAAATTGGAATTTCTTACCTAGCAGTGTTGCCTTGTGGAGAATCAACTTGGACTGATGCTTGAAATAGAACAGCCCACACTAACCAATATGATCTAGTTATTGAAAATCCAGGCTTTGGTAAGATAACTTTCTATAAGAATGAGGCATAAATTTTATTCGTATTGTACCAACGTAAGATTTATCATGCCAACTCAATGTTAATGAATAAATTACCTTGGGATCAAATTCTGTAGGCGATAAGCGTTCAAATAAAAAGATCATAAAAGTAGCTGCATGGATTGATACAATACCAACTAACATCCATGAAGCTGCGTCAAAAGGCTCTGAAAAGAAAAAGAAACGTTTACAAAATAAAAGTGATAACCTGATAACGTAACAGACATCGTTATGTTAATCATCACAACGCGTTAAATATATCGGGAATATTACACTGATAACTCGTGTATTTTCTATCTTCCTGCAATCAACATCACTGGCTTAAACAAATACGGAACGTTTATTGGTTTTACCTCGATTTTTAAAAATTGGATTCTCATCATATTTCTAAGTTTTGAGGCCCTGGAAAGCTATTTAGACTGTTTCTACGAGAATGTTCCTTCCATGTATGCAAGTGCATGAAAATAAATTATACCAAAAATGACCATATTTTATTAATTCAATTTATTTATTTGGGTGCTTTATAAAAAATTTCTTTGATATACTGTCTGCGGTTCACTAGGTGTAAGTAGTATTCGCGCAATTTATAAAATTATGATGTACTAACTGAATCATAAATTATTACATTTAACGAGTTGTATCACCGCATAAGGCAGATGATAAAAATTATGATGTGAGTATCGTAGTCCATAATTACATAATTCATTCCATCATCAGATAGTTTAACAACAAATCCAAATCCTTGATGATCAGATCTTAACAACACAGTGAGATTTTCTTCGGTAAAAATTGTTTTATCAACACCGAATAACTGTTGAGATTTAGATCTCTTCATAAGCGTTTTCATAGAAGTACTTAAAATCTGAGGTAATATTTGTATTTTAACAATTCGATAGGTCTTAGAAACGTCTTTTAATACTTTTATCGCAGTTATGGCATCATAAATTGGTGTGCTATCTACAGCAAGAAGTTTGTCACCTGGCTGTATTGCACCACAGCGATCAGCGGCACTCGCGGGACGAAGACTCTCTATATAAACACCATTTGCATTGTCTCGTACTGTCAAGCCTAGCTCACCTGTAAATATTATTTTTATGATAATAATTTTTGGATATAACAAGTAAAATTTCAAAGAAATAACTGAGACATGAATTAAGAAAAAAAAGAATAATTAATTTAAAAACAAAATTTACTGTATTAGAAAATATTTTTTTTTTTTTTTACCAGGACAAGTACGTTTCAACTGTATAAGAAGAGGCCCTGGAATAGCTGTTCGAACTTCAGCCATACTTGCAACATTGTATTCGATGGTAAGAGATGCAATTGGATAGTCAGAACTTCTTTTTAGTACATTTTGTGCTTCAAAAAGACTTAATCCTTGTAATTCGATGTCATCAATAGCGAGAAGTTTATCACCTAGTCTTACGTGGCCTTCTTTTGCTGTTGGACCATCTGGCTTGATACCTGTGATAATAAGAGGTGTTGCTTCACCACCTCGGAGAGTGACTCCCAAAAAACCATTTTCTCTCTTAACACGAACTTGAGTGACTTTTGAGAAAACTCCAATTAAAGGTAAACTATTATCCATATCGATATCATCTAATACTAAAAATTGATACATTCCGTATTGATAAGACTTTGTATTTTCATTAGTATGTGGGTCATTCTATGTCAAATCGACCAATAGTTGGAATCGACCCCTTTCGATTTGGACGAATTTTGGTCAGAAGTTTTCTTTTATCATATAACGAAGTTCTGCCAAAGGAAAAAAAATAAAAAAATTTTTTTCAAAAGATATGCAAACTCAAAATTTCGCGATTTTTCCAGTTTTTCAATTTTGTTTTTGTAATATCTCGAACGCTAGTATAGATACAGGAATAATCTTTCATTTGTTTGAAAGGGGACACTTGGAGCTATTGAAAAAAAAAATATTTTGGGAAAAAATTTTGAAAAATGCCAAATTTGTCAAATTTTGAATTTTTGAAAATCGTAAAAAATGACGGTCGACAATAAATTTTTTGCTCAAATTTTTTCATATACTACCTTGTACCAATCTTAAGAAATCCTGAAATTTTTGGAACTGTGTTTTTTGTTTTCTCAAAAATATGAATTTTTGAAATTTCTTAAAAAAAAAAATTTTTCTCCAAAATTTTTTTTTTATTTTTATCTCAATTGAGTTTGGTAAATCGCGTAATTTCGATATTCTGAACAATTAAAATGTCATTTAGTGGCATAACGATGAGAAAAAAAATAATTTTAAGAAAAATTTTTTCTTTCAACAAATTTCAAAAATTCATATTTTTGAAAAAACAAAAAACACAGATCCAAAAATTTCAGGATCTCTTAAGATTAGTACAAGGTAGTATACAAAAAAATTTAT